CTCGCCGCGCGCAGCCGGGCCCTCCCCGCCCCTCGCGGCTGAGCATGCCCAGTGCGCCACCGGCCGCGCCCGGGCTTCCGCAACTCCGGACTTTCTCCGCGCCGGAGGGGCGGAGCCAGGGGCGGAGCTCTCTGCGTCCCAAGTAGCGAATTCTAGAGCGTGGAGGGTGTAGTTACAGGGTGTGAATTTGCGGGGGCCGAGGCTTTGGAAAACTTAGAGGAGAGGATGGAAGCCGTGGTCTTTCAGAACTCTGGGATTGTAGCACGAGAGCGGGCGCTCTGCGAGGAGAGGGTGGGCGCAGCTGCCTTCCCGGGGCTGGGCTGCACTGGGCTTCTAGCGACTCCGAGCATCCCGGGTCGGCGGGTTCCCACGCCCCGAGCGGATGGGAAGCCGCGGAATGCACAGGGAGGCAATGGAGGCCGGCAGGACTTGCTCCGCTCACGGGGCAATTCTAGCTGCACGGTTCGCCACGGAAATACTACTCCTGGCTGAACCTTCCCGCAGCTCATCCCCAGCACCCCCGGACAAAGAATGGGGAAAGGTGGCCTGAGCCCCTGGCCCAAATAGGGAAGGGGATGCCTCCAGTGGCCTCTGCTTGGACCACCAGGCCCTACCCACCGTCTACCCCCAGTTGGCTCCGTGCAAAACCCGGAGATCCGGATTAAGCCCGGATCCTGAAGTCACGGCGGAGCTCGCGGCTAGTCCGAGCATGCTCAGTCGGCAGAGCAGGTTTTCGGTCTTGGAAATAGGAAGCTTTTGCGCCACACACCCACGCTCCAGCTCGAATTACTTCTTCCAGTCTCGCTCCCCATTGGCTCCAGGGCACAAATCTCACACCCCCAACCGCTCTGCCATTGGCTAGCCCCAAGGTTTTATCAGTTTGGGGTGCTTCATTGGGTTAAAAAGTAGCCTTTGCTTGTGATTGGCTATTTATAGAGATTGAGTGGCGAGGCGGAGGCACAGCTGTTCTTTCTCCGCTGCTCTCCCGCCCCCTTCCTCCCACTTCCCCAACCCTGTCGTTTGGAAGCGAAGAGTGAAAAAATAAAGAGGAATTTAGGCGGAGAGCTCGGAACTAAATATAGTCCTTTGTTGGTGTTTTAGAGAAAGTCTGGCTTCCCGTGGCCAGTCACACTGGGCCTTTCGCTGGTGCAGAAACGGGACACCAGTCTTGAAGTTTGAAACTGCGAGGACGAGGGGGCTGGGAGAAAGCAATGTGCCACTTTGCATTCGGGTTGCCCGGAGGGAGTGGGGAGACGCCCGGGCTTGCCTCTCTTGAAAACGTGTCGGTTTGGGGGCGGCCGGTCGCCAGACTTGGTGCGGCTCACCCCGCGGGAGGTGCGAGGGAGGTGCCCCGACTTGCTCCGAGGCCCCGGCGTTCCAGGCGGAGCGGAGAAGTCAGGACCTGTTTGAAGACCGCGAGGGCCCTAGGGTGACGGGGGCGGGGAGGGGATGTAAAGCCCCGGCCCGCTCCATCTGAGTCTTCCCGTTGTCACCCGGTGCCACTTCCCACTGGCTTACCCGCCCAGCCTTACAAGGGTGCAGCAGGCTCAGTGCTTACATTGGGTTTCTGTTCCTAAGTCCCCGTGACGCACGACCACGTTTGCGAGTTCACCTCCGAACCCACGGCTTTAGCTTGTCTGCCTAGCGAAGCCTGGGCACCGACTTGGCGGGATGCGGGCAGCACCCGGCGCCTCGGGCGGGGTGGGCGGTGCCCGTTCCCACCCCCGCGTCCGCCATTTAGTGCTGTGGGGAGCTGAACTAGACTGAGTGCTGGAGTATAATTATGCTTATATAATTCTCCAGCAAAACCTTCCCAAGGAAATTCTCCTTAGCCAGAGAGAACTCCAGAACCACACCAACTTTTATCAGCTTCTAAGGCAGTGGTTCTCAACCTTCCTCATGTCGAGGTGACCCCCAACCATTATTTTCGTTGCTACTTCATAACTGTAATGTTACTACTGTGATGAATTGGGACCCCCAGGTTGAGAACCGCTGTTCTAAGGTCTGCCTTGCGTTTTCTATGTGCAAATCTCATGCACTCTTAGTAATGTGTATACTCATTTTAAAGAGTAGGAGACTGAGGCTCTGAGATGCTCAGTAACTTGCCTGAGTTTACAGAGCTGAGGTAGTATTCCAACCATTTATTTGACAGTGTCTGGGCTCCAAACCATTAAGACAGTACTGCCTTCTCAGGAAAGCTATCAGATCTTCTGCTTTCTTATGTTGAGCCCATCTGCAGGTAATAGGGTCGGACCAAATCTTAAACTACATCAGGAAGAACCTCCGCCTGGAGTCACCTAGCCCTGCCTTTTCTCACATGGTCAGGATGATGATCCATGGGAACTGCTTCTAGACCATGTTCAGGTAGCTGTGAACCCTGAAATCCGCCTCACGAAGAGCGCCAAATGATATCCCGGGCCTGTGTGGACTTCTGTGCTGACCCCCGATACTCTGAGATTGTTTGCTAGGCCGAGTGGGCCCTGGACCCTCAGACCAGGTTGTGTTCTTCCGGGTCATTTGGGGACCTTCTCTGGTGCTGGCAGGAACTCCGTTTTCCCTTCCCTGTCACTGTCCACACCGGCGCTTGAATGAGTTCAAAAATGCTTAATTCACATCTGGCTTTCTGGGTCTTTGTGGAGAGGTACCTGTCAAGGTGAGAGACGTTCACTAACAGTTTGTTAGCTTGATTTATGACGTAAATACATAGAATAGTGCTATGGGAACTTGCATACACCCCATACCACAAACCGTTAAGAGTGGTTCTGTGCATGATAATACAGGAAAAGCTGCGTTCTCTTTATGGACCTAATGCCTATTCTTGACTATTGTGTAGGAGTTATAAGCTAGGGCCCTGGGTAAGGCCCTTCTGCTCTCTTGACCTTAGCCTGACCTTAGTTTACCTATCTACACAATAGCAATAAATTGTGCCTTTCCCATCTAAATATCCAGAACCCTTCAAAGGGATCTCTAAACCCTTCATTTTACAGCAGAGAGATCAAAGTTGGAGGTCAATCAGGTGGTGCAGGGACATTAGTTGGAGAGCCAGAATTAGAACCCTGATGTCCTCACTGCCCTTCCCGTGGTGCCACTCACCTTCGAGACCACAACCAACAGCCAGCGAGAGATAAGGGATGGCAGTGTGTTTTCAAAGCTATGTTGTAGTTATTTGCGGTGAGCAGCATCCCCCAAATGCATGACAATTACTACCCCATCCGGGAGCCTGACAGCCCCATCCAGAAAAGACCATCCTAAAAACACCTGGTAGTCAGTCATGTGGATAGACGCTAGTGAACCTTGGTGGCCTCTGGTACCAAGAAGGAGGCCACAGTTTGAATACAAATATGATCTGTACCTTAGGCTGTCCTGTAGGAATTCTTCAATAGTCATTTCTTTATTACAGTCTGACAGTCTCCCACAGAAAGTTTGTCATTGGAATTTTGGGATTCAAAATGAAGCATGAAATTTGTTGATTCTAAGATTTTTTTATATTGGTCATTTTCTCCTGTGAAGTATGCTAGGCATTTTATGTACTCCTCTTAAAGTACCAGTCATCAGCTACCTATCCTGTATCATGAACTTCACTGTATCTATGCATGGTGTGGATTCCTTGAGGTCAGCCTCTATTTCTTGCTTGCCTTTGGGGTCACCGTTATTCACATAGCACCTATTACAGCTCCACCCCTAGGAGGCCCTCAATAACTCTACATTGACTAGTCCATGGGGATGTTTTATTCCTTTTCCGGACTCTGCGTGTGGTGAAAGACTGACTTAACCATATTAATCCCTGGCAAGATGTAACATATCATCCTCTCAAGAAATGAGTACCAGTGTTTCGTTCTCCCAGACTCAGAAAGATGGAGTGATCACAGCCCATTTGGGAAGAAATATGGAACCGTTGCTATCTTGGGAGAGATAGCAGAACATCAAATGGAGAAACTTGCTCTGAGAAGACTTAAGATGCGGAAGCCTTTCTGGGAAACAACAGAAAACAAAAGCTATCAGGTATGGACGGTGTAACCTTTGGAACGGAATGTTGTGCAAACAGGGTGCTGTCTCTGACCTTTGCTCACACAGCAGTTCCAAGGCCCTCCCCTGACACTGAGGTCGGGCCTTCAAAGAATTAGAAGGTTTGTTCAAACATGAATCTTCAAGTTCTCCAGAGAATACGAACATACCTGCCTTCTTCATCTACACAAAGTTAAGGAAAGGTTTATATCATAATGCTGGCTGGTTGTTTTAACTGGGGTCACTTATAGGTCAACACATAATCCTGAACAAATTCTTCTAATTTTGTTAATACCAAGTATAAGTTGATAGTGACCCTATATCAGTCTTTTTAAAGAACAAGAATAAAGGTAGGATTAACTGTGCCTAGCAGAGTTCTCAATAAATTAGTCTTACATTACTGAACATGTTATAACTACCACTATCCTCTAGCAGGCTTATAATAATTTATTTAATCAGAGATCTGTTTTAATAATGCACCTAAAAATACTTTGTTAGCCAACCATACCCTCATCATTATGTCATATGATTCATACTATTCATATTGTACTTTGGGGAGCCAACTTACAAGACCGATGACTTAGATTTTATTTATATCTCTTTTTTTTTTTACTTTTCATCTATTTTACTTAAAAAAAAATCATCCTAAAATCTAAGCAGGACAACAAAAGAGAGAATAGTCTGCCTAAGTTTTATAATTTCCGATCTTATATT